ATAAACTACTGAACACGTTATATAAAAATTAAAATAGCTAAATACACTTCTTAAAGTACTCTTCATAAGTAGATCCAAGATTTAGTTAGGGGGAAGGACTAATTTTTTTTCTTTTTTTCTAAAAACAAAACAACTACTTTTACGAAAGGATGTTAGTGGTTCTGGAAGGTTAATAAAAATTAATTATTGGGGCATTGATGCTATTAGAGATATCCATTATAATATAAAAAAATAAGAGATTGTGATTGTTTCAGTATTTAGCTTACAATTATATATCGCACAAAATAAATGTGGACCACTGAAAAAAAATTTTTTAAGATGGGTTCATTATGAATACTAGTTAATTTTTCAATTAATTACTTTACTCGATTAAAAATCGAAAATAATTTTTTAAATTGCAGTAATAATTTTAAAAAAAATTCAATTTATCTAGAATATATTTACAATTGCAGTTTTATGAAGGAAATAATAATTACGAAGGAAATAATGGATATACTTTCTCGTATTTTATTTTATGCTCGATAAAAATGACGGTAAAAATTTCTGTTTAATTTTCTTTTACAACACATTTTAAAAAATACAAATTTATAAAAAACGTTTTATTAAGGAAGTAATGGATATGGTTTCTTATATTTTATTTTATACTAAATAAAATCTAAATTTTTTTTAAAATTTTATTTTCTAGAAAATTAAAAAAAAACATATATATACAATCATTGTTTTATGAAGGAAATAATAATCATACTCTAATTAAAGAAGATATAATTGCAATTTATTTGTCTATAAAGCAACAGAAGTTCAGTCTTTCATATCAACATAAATAATAATACAGAAAAAGTAACCGTAAAACAATTCTAAACTTCATTCATAAAAATATAACCTTGCATTGCATACGTCAGCTAAAGTTATGTACGAGGTACGAGGCTGGTCTATCCTCGTACTTCGTACATTACGTCATAACCTCGTACAAGTACGAGGATCCTCGTACAAACGGCAACACTGCTAACAACCATACTTAAGTAACATCTGTTTTTATAGAACAGCTGTTTGCCTGGAATTAAAATAATACATTTCACATTGTATTTAAATGTAAACAAATCAAACATTACGGTTAACAAATTCCCGAACACTGTTCGATTTCAATATGGTCATCCTCACCAGACGAATCAGCTTCTTGGGTATGTCCATTTCTTCTAGCGCCTGGTAGAGCTCGGGTCGGGTTACGCTATCGCATGGAGACTTGAAATCCAGAAAGAGGTGGTGCTTAACCATCTTGTATTCCTTGGATTTTTCCAGAATAATTCTCAGGGAGAAGATCTGGTCCATGGTTGGCTCGGAAGTGGCTCGCTAGAAAAGAGATTCTACACAGCATATTATAGTTGCCATGGAAGCAAACAGGCCTTTGGCACGGGATTTGTTGTTAGAGGAAGGGCAGGCCAGCTTGTCCTTAAGCTCAAGCCTATCTCCCCGCAACTGTGTTATATGCGCATCAGGGAAACATTCTTTAATATCTCTATTATCAACTGCCACACACCATCTGAAGTTTCATCAGACGAGGATAAGGATATCTTCTACGAAGCATTGGCAAGCACTTTCAGGAACTGCTCCAAAAATGATAACAAGATTATTCTTGGTAATCTTAATACCCAAATTAGTCAGGAAACTATTTATCATCCAACAACAGGAGCCTTTAATCTACATGAGAGCACGAATGAAAATGGCCAAAGGCTCATAGATTTTCCTGCAGCACACCGTCTAGTCATTGATCTGCCCCTTCTGAATCCAGCCTATCTCCTTTTCAGCATGTCTTTCGAAAAGGATGTTTGACAACACCTTGTAGACACTCGAAAGGAGGACTATACACCTGTAGTTGTCACACTCTGTTTGGTCGCCCTTCTTGTGAAGCGGACAAATAACTCCTTGTCTCCAAATTTGTGGCATTCTTTCTTCTTCCCATATTGTAAGGATGAAGTTGTGGAGTTCGCCACCATAGTGAATCATCTCCGCCTGTATGCCGTCTAGTCCCGGGGCCTTGTTATTCTTGGATGGTTTGTTAATTTAATTTTAAAATATGATTTAATATTAACATTTAAAAAATAAAATTTATGTTTTGTTTTTGTTATTGTTGTTTGTGTATTATGTTAAAAATTCTAGATTTTATATTAATGTTAATAATTGGCATTATTTTAACTTTAAGATTTTTTATGAAATATGATTTGTATATTATTCTTAACATTTTGTGATATTTATAATGTAGCATAAAATAGAAAAAAACATACATTGTAATAACATAAGGATAATAATGATTATAATACAGAGATTAATTCTATTTGTATTGGGTTCTTCTCTCAAAATAAATAAAGATTAAATAAAATTTTTTATATTAATGCTAATAATTGGCATTATTTTAACTTTATGATTTTTTATGAAATATGATTGGTATGTTATTATTAACATTTTTGTGATATTTATAATGTAGCATAAAATAGAAAAAATATACATTGTAATATCATAAGGATAATAATTATTATAATACAGAGATAGACTCTATTTGTATTGGATTATTCTCTCAAAATAAAAAGTTAATTGCATTAAAAATGCAGACCGTGAGAGTCCCGTAGAACTACTTTTGGATCTCTGTTTCTCACTTCTGTAGAAATATTGTATAATGGGGCGCCGACCTGGAGGGGTTGCAGATCTTCATGGGCGCTTGCCACTTCTTATAAATCAAACAATAATATACAAAATGTATTAAAATAATTAATTTTAACATATTCATAATCAAACTGTATTAGAAAAATATTTGATGAAATAAAATACAAATATTACATAAAATAAAACAGCTTAAAAAATAAAATAAATTTTTTAATGGGGAGTGAGATGACGTTATTGCCTGGGGATTCTGGCATTAATCTATCATCAGATTAATCTCTAACAATCAAATTCTAGGTCCCCTACTGATATTGAAAACATTTAGTACATATATTAAGTATAAATTTGCTTTGGGATGAGGTGGCTGATCAGGATAGCGAGTATGCATGTGTCATGTTGCCCAGCAACCTGACGTTTATAATACGCCCTCTCATTGGTCCAGAAAAAAGCCATATAGCCCAAAAAGGGAGGACAAGAAAAGAAAAAATTGATAATTCGCTCTCTAAAGTTTAAGCGCAGAGATAATTACAAAATGAACAGCCATTTGTACACATTTTTCAATAAACATATAATTAAAAAAAAAATAGTTTTGGTTTAATTTAATAACGTTTTTACATTTACACTCAATTTATTGGAGGAAGAAGGAAGCTCTCTTTATTTTTTACACTATTTGAAGTCGAGAACTCATTGCACATATTGTAATTCTTTAAGCATATTTTCATATATAGTCATTATATTTTCATTGGAGAAAGAAACAGAACTCTAAAAGTAGTTCTACTGCACTCTCAGGGTCCATAATAGTATTTTATGCACTGGCAGATCCAGAAATGTTCCGAGGGGTGGGAGAGGGGATGCACTAAGGAAACAGGTGATTTTCAATTACAAAAGGTGTATTTTATGATATGAAAAGATATGTATATTTTAGTTTTTTGTTAAGTTTAGTATTTATGGCTATCAAAACTGAACAGTATAATTGACGCCAACAGACTTGAACATTGTTGCATAATGTTTTCCAAAAATTCAATTAAAAATATTTTCCAAGGGTTCAGAGCACTCTAGCAACAACTTGCAGATATTTCACCAATAAATGAAGAATATTTAGTGTATATACTCAATATTTTAAAATTATTTGTTGTCTTTAACTACCAAATTTTAAATAAAAATTATTTTTTGCAAATACAGTTTGTTTTCCTTTATAATTTTTTTCCTGAGGGGTCAACCATTAGCTTTGAAACCTTTGAAAAAGAATATATAAAGATTATATTATTCTTATTGTATTTTAACTATATTGATTATTGATATAGAGATGGTTGACCGTGATATAATATGAAAAGGAGTTGGTCAGAGGGTGCAGTCATATAAATATTAAATTTAAAAAAAATAGTATTTTTAATTGTTACTCTGACATTTCGATCCACCTTGCAGGTCTTCATCAGGGCGTGGCATCAGGCAATGCAGGAAGCAGTTGATAGACTGGCCAGTGTTTTTTTTTATAGTTGGGGTAACAATTAAAAATACTATTGCTTCCCTCCTACTAACTACACCTCCTGACTAAGTTCTTCTTATATTTATTATTGTATATCTATTTTAATAATTATATTTGTTTGTTTGTTTGGTTCTGTTAAGTGACGTAAAACATCAGTGGTCATCAATGCCATGTTAATAATTATATTGTATTTTATATTTTATTAAGGTAAAAAGATTTTTATTTTTCTTGTTTTAGTTTTGATTTTTGTCATGTTTTTCAGTAATGAAATCAATTTTTCCCTAAAAAATATTTGTAAAATGAAATTGTTTTTGTTTTGTAAAAAAAGTTTGTTTTAAATTATTTCATTAAAAAGTAGTGTTAAATTACAGGATCAAGTTTTTGATAAAATGAGAAAAATAAGAGAAATTTTGTGGAATTTCGGAAGAAAAATAAAAATAAAAGTATTTTATACGTAATAAACCAAGTACTACCATAGAGGAGTATTCTATATATGGATATATTTTAGTAAAAATCTTTTTAATATGACTAATGTTTTGTTTTTAAAAGAAAAAGAATTTTTGAAAATGGATCTTGGAGCCGGAAGATTAAAAAACAATTATTTTTAAATATTGTAAAAATGTTTTCAAATTGTAATAAAATATTGAGAGATTAAAAAGGATTTTTATAAAAAATAATCATATATAGATTAAATATAATTTATATTTTATTAATCAATAATTATATTTTATTATTGATTTATTTTATTTTATATTATGGCAGGTTTCTATTTTAATTATAATAGTATTACCATATTTTTTAAAAAATCAATAAGTGATTACATTAATTTTTCAACTAAAGGCATATGATTCCATATTTTCAGTCTTTAAAACAATAAGATATGATTACTATAAAAGAATGGATGAATAATAAGACAATACTAATAACTGGAGGAGCAGGTTTCTTCGGAAAAGTTTTGACTGAGAAATTGTTAAGAGCATGCCCAGGTGTAGAAAGAATTTATCTCCTCATAAGACCAAAACACGGGAAGACTCCACAAGAAAGATGGGATGACATTTCCAAAGATGTGGTACGTTTAATTATAATTTTTTTTAATATAGTAGACTTAAGCTTATGATTGTATAACCAGCCTCAAATCAATAAGCAATTTCTGGTTGGGTCTATTAGATTATCTAATTTTTTTTTCCCAAATATTGTTTCTTTTGAATCTGCAATGTAAACTGTTACTGATTCATACTGGATTTACAAGGAGGAAAAAATCTATTTGAAATATTTTGAACAGAATGCACTTCTCTCGAGAAAGTACAATAAAATTGTATAAGATTTTCCTGACTCCTGCTGTTTACTCGCATCTCTTTTGTATTAGAAACATTTATTTACAGTTCATCTAGCTTTTCATGCATCTCACCGACACTTTGGGCTGAATAACATATATCATTCTGACTTCTCTCTGTCTATCATTTACCTATTATTCTTAGATAATCCTCCTCTTCTCGAGCAAATATAAAGAAAATTCTAAATACTCTTGGCCAAATTAAAGAGTTGATACTGCTATTCTTGTATCATCCTTTACTTATCTTATCATCTATGTATGAATTCTTGGAGTTGATCTTAGATTGTACTCTCCTTTATACAGTTTGGGAGTTAATTCTCTTGCATGGAGTTGTCCTCTAACTAAGATGAAGTCAGGATTGATCTCTTCTTTCCTTTCTGAGTTTGTTTAAAAGTTTATCCCTTTAGTGTACATCATTGCCTGAGTATCATATTTAACATAGATTAAAACTTTTGTAGTTATTTGGACCACTGTTGAAGGAAGTTCCTGATATAATGAAAAAAGTTACCGTTTTGGATGGAGATATGTCAGTCATCAATTTAGGGCTATCTGAAGAATCCATTGAGGTATGAAATATTTATATTAATAAGACACTATGAATAAAAGTATGAGCACAATTTTTCATTCTTTTATTTTGGTTTTCACAGGAGCTGAAAAATAGAGTGAATATAATTTTCCATTCAGCAGCTACAGTTCGATTCAATGATCCTCTTCACAAAGCTTTTCTCTCAAACACGAGAGGGACATTAGAGATGTGTAAATTAGCCTCTGAAACTAAAAATCTTGAGGTGAGTAAAGTAATTTACATTAGTTATCAAGTTAAACAAGATTTGCTTCTATTTAAATCTTTTTTCAGGTTTTTGTTCATGTTTCAACAGCATATTGCCACCACAATTTGAAGCTAACTTGTTATGAAGAAAAGGTATATGAGCCATGTCAGGATTGGAGGACAATATTAAAACTAATAGAAACAGAAAATCCTGTAGTCATGAATACAATCTCTTACAAGTATGTGTTTAAAAAAATAATTTGTTTCTATTCTTTGTGGCAAAACGCACCGTGGCCATGAAGGTTTATTGTACGCATATATTAATGTCACTCCTATTCACAGCGTTATTCCTGGAGTCTCTACAAACTGAAGCAGGCTTGTTGGATTGACAAGCTCATTTTTCTTGGGATCAACCATCCTATCATTGCCTAATAAACGGAATCTTAATTCAGCAAACCTGTTGCACAAGCAAGTGATATTACAAGCTGTTTCATCCTCCTGACCACAGAACCTACTAAGAAACGACTCCGTTTGCCGGAGATTAAACATGTGATATTTTAGTTTACAGTGCCCAGTATATATCGCTGTAATTTTCTTAACTGAACTTCTGCTCAAGTTAATTAGTAGGTGTCTTCTGTTAGGACAGATTCCATCCAAGAACATTCTTGAATGAGTTTTTTCAAGCACCAGTATTTTTTGGCTTCAACACTATATATCTCCCCAATCCTATTATTTATTAGACATAAACTAATGGCACAGATATGTTCATGAATTATGGTGTGAGCCTTTTCTAGCTAATTCATCTGCCATCTCCTTTTCATAAATGCCAGAGTGTCCTGGTACCCATTCAATGGTTACCTTATTGAACCTAGATAAATTGTTAAGAATCATCACACAGCCCTTAACAGCTTTAGATCCAGTTGTATAGTTGTCCAGTTCTCATATTGCTACTTGACTTCCAGTATGAATGGAAATAACTTTGAGGTACAGTAATATATCACCAGTATTTCAGATTGGAATACCGTAGCATATTTGCTAAGTGATATAGACATTCCATCCTCTGGTTCATCCTTTCTCCAAAAGCCAGCACCAGAGCCGCAAGTCATTAGTGATCCATCAGTGTAGCAATTAATTCCATTAATGGGTTTATGTCTCCCTGAACTATATGTGTTTACATTATAATGCTTAGTTAGGAAATCTCTGATTTGAGTGTCAGAATGCCTCAATTCTTTCAAATATTTTCTAATGTCCCTCAAGGGTATTTATCTTCGAACATAAGCTTAGTTTGTGTAACCTACAGAAAGTTTTCAAGGTCTGTATTTCAATCTCCAACTGCAAATGATATATACCAAACATTACTTCCAAAGCTGCAGTCAGGGTGGTTTTCATTACACCTGTTATCAATAGACAGGCTAATCTTTATAGTTTTTCCAGTTGTATTAGGTTGTGACTAACTCTTGCCCTATTCCACCATACATACAACTGTTGAATATAAGAGCGAAGGTCTAACTGCTGTAACATACAGTCAGTTAACCATTTGTGGTTTAGTTTCCATGCCTCCCCTACAGCATTTTTACAAGCCCATAGGCATTTTAGTGCTTTATTAGTTTTGTTTTTACATGACTATTCAATTTAATTTTATTGTCCATCGTAACACCACAATGTTTCACCTCCTTCCTTCATGTTTGGATACCATTAATTTTAGTTAGCCTTATTACAACCTTTTTATTCATAGTGAAAACGCACACATTTATCTTAGCTGGATTGACATTCCTCGACCGGCACCATCCTCCAAGACCCCTGTCGCAGTCCTCAACAGATCAGAAAGAACATTCTGATGTTTTCCGCCTATAAGAATAGCGATATCGTCCGCATAGCCCTGTACATTGAAGCTTGCAGCATTTAGTGTGGCAAGCAAGGAATCCACCACCAAACACCACATACTGTGGACAACCCTTTCAAGGCTTAATCCACATTTCAGTGTGTTCAAGTTCTTTTTTAAGAATTCTGGTTTCCAACATGCTGCCAATCCATTTGGTAACAAGCGGATCTATTTTCCTTATCCTTAAAGTATCGATAATGGTGTTGTAAGGAATCCTATTGAAGGCACCTTCAATGTCTACTAAGGTGTCATTATTTCCTTCCGACTCATGAATTTTTCAATTCTTGAGACCAGATTGTATAACACTACTTTCTTTATTCCTTTATTCCTATGATTTACCAGGTTAGTAGGCAAATTGATTTGAATATAAAGAATTGGAAGTCAGTAATTGCTGTCTTATATGCCAGTCCAAAATCTTTTCCAACGTCTTCATTAGAAAAGACAACATGCATATCGGCCTGAAAGACTTAGGATTGTCATAAGTTCCTTTTCCAGGTTTTGGTATAAAAAACAGTTTAGATCCGCTTCAATTTGATGGAAGATAACCAAACGCTAAGCTGCCCCTTAATAGCTCTAAAAAATAATTAATATAACTGAACATAATTTATAATCAAAATATTAATTTTGTTTTTTTCTTATTGTAGAATTATACAGGATCATCCAAACACCTATACATTCTCAAAGTCATTGAGTGAAAAAATAGTTGAGGAATATTCACATAAATTTCCTACTGTCCTTGCAAGACCTACAGTTGGTATGTATTTTATTCAAAGAATAAAATAAGTTTTAAAAAACTTGTTTATGTTATTTTAAGGTGTGTATTCATTTGCGATTTTGATTGTCTTCAATTTCAATGAAGACTGATTTACAATTTTTAGATGTTTCAAGATTTATTCGCGAATAAAGCAATCTGTCAAATATCTCAGCACCATTTTCAGTGACCATTAACATAAAAAACTATAATTTAAGTTGTTAGAGGTGAGTTAAAATAAATTAAAATTTCTCTTGGGTACTACCTTAACCTGAGTTATCAATGGGTTTCTGTTAATATCTGGAAAGGTACTCATGCCAGTATTTCTGTAGAAGTATAAATGCATCGATTAAAATTCATAAAATACCAAATTTACATTATTTTGCCTTTCTTTATGTTTAATTTTTCCTGAAAATTTCTGTTGTCAATATAATTTTGAATATTTTCCTTTAGAAATAATATAGATTTGCGAAGAATCGGAAGTCATCTGTGAAAGGGTCATTTTCTATCCATTTTAGAACTCCAGAACACGATTATGCAATTTTTAGATATATCAGTTCTTTATATATATATATATATATATATATATATATATATATATATATATAATATATATATATATATATATATTATATATATATATATATATATATATATATATATAATATATAATATATAATATATAATATATAATATATATATATATATATATATATATATATATGGGAGACTGGGAACCATTAACCATAGGGGAGGCTTGACCCACAGTTAAATTTTCTGCCAAACAGCTGTTTTTGAAGTTGTCCATCAGTCACAGCTTATACAAACAGATTATCTACACTCTGTTTCAGTTTGGAGAGAAATCTTAACGTTTCCTGGTTTTGATGCAAGGAACAAGATCTTTTGTATCTTGGCTGTAACCACCACCATAAAAATCTACAAAATGATATTAATTTAAAGACTAAGTTATTCTTGAAGTATATTTTATTGGCTATTTAATGATATCCTTATTGTTTGGATTACCTAAAGTTTACGATATTCACAATAGGTTAAACACATAATGACATTTAAGGGAGCATTGACCCACCTGACCTAAAAGAGGCTTGACCATGCGGTCCTATTATTTTAAATTTGTTACCAGCAAAATACCATATCTATTAGTTTTTAAAAAGATTCTAAAACATTAAATATTTCATTATTCATCCTAATGCAAACAAAACATTATTAATAGGCCAATGTCCTTCTACATCACCACAACCAAATGATATCCTTCGAGATTTATAAAAAACAAAAATATAACAAAGATGGTATTGAAGAAGTATCCTTAGTTGTCAGTCCTGAAATTGTTCAACCCTTTCCAAAAGCTGGGCCTCAAAAAGATAAACGACAAGGTCACGAACCAGGGAAAATTTGCATATTAACTGCCACACCAGTAAAAAAATGAAACAGAGGAAGAATTTAAAATAAAACAAGATAAAAAACCAGAGGCTCCCTAAGACTACAAAAAAAGTTTTATAAAAAATAAAAATATAACGAAGATGGTGATGAAGAACAGTTACACCTACACCCACAAATAGATTTGAATTACGAGCCTGATAATGACCTAGCAGAATTTGACAACCCAGACGAATATGGTTTACGCCTAAGCCAAAGCAAGTTGTACTGCAGGAGACTGTTTTAGTTAAATTTTGTGCAAAAACAACCATCATTCACTATGTTGGACGCATTTCTGCAGAAATTCAAAGTGATGAATATGGCATTTATTTTTTATGCTGAGAAGAAATTGGTCAGTTTTGCTACCAAGAAAAAGAGGATAGAAGTATTGTGGAAAAACACGATATTGTTGCCAAATTACCATTACCACAGTCAAGCGGAGGCTGAAAGGGTTGCAGTAAAAATCAAATTTGACTTCGACCTTCCTAACTATAATAATGTATTGTCGCCTATAGCAAAGCTTCAAAATGCCATTAAACTATAATGTGTTCATATATATTAATTGAATATTTAATAGTTGACCGTTGCATTATAAAGGGAGGAGATGGTGCGGGGTGGTGTTCATAAAAAAGCTAAATAGTGAAAAAATTATTTTATTAAAAGCCAACGTTTCAACCAGACTTAACAGGTCTTCTTCAGGGCTAGAACGGACAAGATACAAAAAATATATATAGAATTGTGGAAGTTACATAATATTAAGACAAAAATTATAAACAATGTGAATAAGCTTATTAAAATTATGAACAGTAAGTACATTAAAATATAAACAGAGTAAGCTAAGTAACAAGATCCTAAACTGAAGTAAATAGATGGTAACAATTGTTGTAGTGTAATATATAATATATGAAAATGTGAATATACTTCTACAGATCTACAGGAGAGATTGAAAGAAAAGGAAAAAGGATATAACCTTAAGTCCCATAACAAACTTTCTTTCCTCTTCACCAACTTGAAGGATCTCATACTTTTACAACACCGATCTAATGTAGTTTACCGAATACCTTGCACTACACCTAATTGTAATAGCTCCTATATTGGTGAAACCAAAAACCATTTCAAAACCCGCATTTCCCAACATAAAACATCCATAACTTCCCAGAACCCTTCTGCCTCCAAACTATCTGAACATGCCTTAACCCTCTCTCTCTCTCTCTCTCTCTCTCTCTCTCTATATATATATATATATATATATATATATATATATATGCAATTTTTAGTATATATATATATATATATGTATATACAAAAATAAGTCCTTGATTGGATATGGAATCAAGAGCATGTTAGGAGTGGAAGGAATGCACTGGGCTTAGACAAGCCAAATAGATAATTAAAAAACCTCCCCCCCTCTAGAACTAAGTGGTTGCTAGGCCTAGCTAAAAAGGAAATCCGACTCATCATTGGGATACTACCAGGCCACTGCAGACTTGATGACATTTAAAGATTTGTGGGATAGTGGACTATGAACTCTGCCATTTGTGCAGAAATGCACTGGAAACCGCCCTTCACTACATAACAGAATGTGACCAATTTGAGTCGTTCAATTACAGGTTTCTGGATTTGGACAGAATACGAGAACAGAAAAATTCCTCCATAAAATGGTCCTGCCTTTTGGACTTGATTAGAAGAACGAAAAGGTTTGAGGCGGAGACGGAGGTTTAATAGACTGCCATTGGTATTATTGTTTTTGGGGATGGCAAAAAAGACCAATAGGCTCACTTGCCAGACCTAGTCTCTCCTCCAGTACCAATATATATATATTGTAATATGCACCTTAATTGAAAGTTGTTAAAAATGGCTTAATAAATTAATGTAACAGTTAAAAAGCAAGCTAATCTAGTTTCACTAGTTCAGGAAAAAGAAAATAGCTGCTCTGCAGTTTTCCCAGAAAGAAAAAAAATTCCCAAAGAGGAGAGGGGATAAAGGATTTTATTTTGGCAAGCAGTTCTTGTTTGGCTGCAGTGAAGAGATGACAGGAGAAGGGATCCTGGCTCCAGTGGGTAAAACCCAGTAATAGTATTACCATTTCGGAAGTTGTTGTTTGAAGTTACAGGAGAGAGGATCTCCCAGGAAGCTTGAGTCGAGTAGAAGAAAATGTCATCATTTTGGAAGATGGGTTTGGCAGAACGTTGGAAAAATACTAGAAGACAAATTAATTTAGTGACACAAAGGAAGAAACAGTGTATATAGAAAAAAGGTTAGCTCGCCAATTCATCCTCGACATTATTTTAAAATAAAACAGTGTTTAGTGTAGTTAATTTTAGTTTGTCTGAGTCATTGGATCTGATTGTCAGTAACCCATAACTGAGATAAAATAATTATAAATTTCAATTTAGTATATTAATACTCTTATAATTTATTTTTTATTCAACTACCTTTTATTTATTAAGGAAGTATCCCAACAGTATAAAGTGATCTTCCTCGAGGCCATATTACTAGTTAAAAATATATATATATATGTTTTTTATCCCACAAAACATTTCAGCCTCTCGAGCTGTTCTCATAGGACTAAATTAAATGAAATGCGGTGTATAGAGTTGGATGAGTATTGGATACCAATACCACAAAACTTTGGATAAATTGAGTATAAATTTCAACATGTAAGAACTTTTTGTTGCATTTTCCTCTGTTTTTAAAATGATGTGCATACCTACAACTCCTGTTAAAATTGGAAGGTTAAATTTTTTTATGTATATTAAGTTGGTGCTGAAGAAGTACCTTTAGAGGATCTCATTTCCAGCCGTTATTTTGTTTCAATATTGCAGTAAAAAAAAAACATTTTTCTAAGTACTGTAGAACTAAAACAATTGTAACAATTTCGATAAAACTTCTCTAGGATCTTCCTATAGAAATTCTTCAAATTTATGTATATAACATACTTCTCCAAAAAAAGACTGGTAAAAAACTTTAAGATGAATACAAAATTTTATTTGCGAATAACTCAAAAATTACATATTTTTTCGATTTATTATGTGTTAATTTTTAAGATAAGTTTATTTCATACAAGACAAAAAATAATTCAACTTGATGCAGAGATTTTTTTTAGAGCTTAAAACTATAAAATTACTTACATACATCTTTCTCTAAATTATCTCTCTTATATCAAAAAGTTTTTAGTCACTTTCATATTTTATTTTAGTATTAGAGCAGTATTAGGGAGCAGGGTAGCTCAGTGGTAGGGCACTGAGCTTCCAATGCAAAGGTCCCGAGTTCGAACCCCGGCTCATGGCAGAAAATTTATTTATCTGTTTCATTGGCCGTGGGGCGACCTTGGGTCAGAAGTCCCTCCTGAGGCACACCCAGCCTCTATAAAGTGGGTACCCTTAATTAAATAATTAATTAAGGAGGAAACCTGGCGGTTGAGCGTGATCTCGGTCAAATCACCTCCTTGCACAACCGTTGACCTAGAAACAGTGCTTTCCCTAAATAGTACTGAACCCCAGATCCTTCATGGGTTGTAGTGGTACAGGTTTTTTTTTTTTTTTTTATTAGAGCAGTATTAGATTATAGGAGCTGTTCATTCGGAATTGTACAGCTGTTCATTTAATTTCTGTTGAGCTCCTGTAACATCCTATTCTCCTATTACAAAATAAATATTTTAGACGAAAAATTTGTATGGGAAATGATGTTCATCTGTAGATGGTAGTTTGATTAATTATATGGTTTTGTGTGGTGCCTAGATGACAGCAGTTATTTTTCGATCTAGACATTTTCTTCTTGGATGTAATATATTAATTATTATATTATATATAATATTATTTATTAGTATTTAGCTAATGAGACTGTAGAATATGATATAATTATAATCATTATGAAATAGAAAAGGAAGCACTACATAACGTACAATAAAAATATTAGAAATAAAAGGCTCAAATTGATGTTGGGCTTAACAGAAGCTGGGCAAGTTGAATACTCAATATGTTAAAACTGAATGTATTATAGACGTAAAATTTATTTTAATATACAATATATTGACCATTATTTAATATGACTTTTTTCCATCTTTCCGCTAACTGCATAATGCCATGTTCATAGAATGTCTGGAGTCCATTGTTAAAAAACTGATCCAAGTGGTTTTTTATGTCCTCTTTCTTTTGGAATTTCTTTCCATTCATGGAGTTCTGCAGAGACAGGAATAAGCAGTAGTCACTTGGAGCTAGATCTGGTAAATAGGGAGGATGGGGCAAAAGGTCCCATCCAAGGCTAAATAATTTATTGCGAGTGACCAATGTGGTGTGGGGTCTAGTGTTGTCTTGGTAGAAGACAACACCCTTCCAATTATTCATAACTCTTCAGGATGTTCTCCAAATTCGATGTTACTATATCCATTAGAAAGCTAAATTATTGCTCTTCAAAGTCGTATGAATAGTGTTTTGATTTAATGCCTACATAAAAAACAAATGAAGAAAAACTTCTGATAGGTTTTTATTTTTTATCTCCATTTGTAGTTTTTTTGCGAAGGTCCTGTTGATGTCATTTTTTGTAGTTTATTTGACCCTAAATTCCAGCTAATGTCTTGTAGATAGCTAAAGTCGTATTCAAGTTATAACATTTGTTGTGATTTTCGAAAAAAAATCATGTGAGGGACCCAAACATTAAACCTGGAAACATAGCCGAGCTTGTGAAAATGGTTTTCTACACTTGTGTGCGACACATTTAGGGCCATAGAAATTTCTAGCACTGATTGGGTGGGATTTCGATTAACAATGGCCTTAACATTGCTCGTTTCAATTTCATGTGAACGACCAGACCGTTGGCATCATTGATCTCAAAATTTACTGAATGGAATTAGGTAAACCAATTTTGACATGTGCGTTCCGTTAAGGCATCATCCCATAAACACTGACAATTTTTCTATGAGCTTCTGCGAGCTGGTTACCTTTTTTAAAATAATACAACAAAATATGCCGATAATGAATGATATTTTCTTCCATATTCACAGTACAATAGCAAACACAATACTAAGTTTCAACAAGAGTTAACAGATATAGTTGTTGACATATTACAAACAGGATAAACAATCCACCTTAGGGATTAATTCATCAGATAAGAAGTGTATCATAGCGACATAAAAATAAATAGAAAAACCGAAACGACTTGTTTGCTAACCCAATATTTATCTAATAAAAAATTATATACCAAACTAATGGTGAAAAAAAAAAAAATTAAATTATTAATTTTTCCAGTGGTTGGGGTCTACCAGGATCCTGTTCCCGGTTGGACAGACAATATGAATGGTCTCATAGGAATAACAACAGGAATGTGCAAAGGGGTTCTGAGGGTTTTAAAAGGTAGAAAGGAATGTTGTTTAGATTATATTCCAGTTGATGTTTCAGTAAATGCACTCATCGTTGGCGCTTGGGAAAAAGTAACTAGGTATTTACAATAACTATAACTTTACTAGTCTTTAAGCATCCAATAAATTAATATAAGTGAGTAAAAACTCATCAAGAAACAGGAAATAGATGTTAGGCTATAGTTATATCTCAAAAATGCAGGTGAAGAAAGAAACAATGGCTAATGTTTCACATAATAAGGCATGATCAGGACAGAAAAAACAAACAAACCAAAGAACACATCATTCTATAACATTAAATTGCACACAGAAAGAAGGGGGGAGGGAGGATGGTAAAAAAACTGTGGAAGGTTGTAATCAAACAGCTGATCATGCAGACCAAGTTAAGAAAGCAAATTAACTAGATTTATTAGACTTGTTTGAATTGTTCAATGTTCCATAATAAAAGCTAATCCAATTTCTATTATCAGTACTGATATCCCAACCAATCTTAACACTATCATCACCAGATATACTGATGATACATGTGTCTTATCAGTTAATAATGATCCATAAATTGCATATCAAACTCTTCAATTACACATCCTTGAAGAATTATGTAAAAACTGGAGGATTAAAATAAATTATAATAAATCTTATCAAATCACCTCTACATTTCATCATAAACCTATGAATTCCTGTCTTATAAGTAGTATCCTTTAATAATATCCCACTTATCCCTCTTGAACAAATCCAGTACCTGGGGCTCTCATTCTCATACCAGACTGAAAAGATGAGAAACTGCTTGACATTTCAGGCTACTCCAGTACTTATTAGACATACATTCTAAGCTACCAATTAATTATAAAAGACTTAAGATAAGGATGAATATAATATAGGGGTACCCAGAAGAGGGTTCAGTGGTGCATTGTTGAGGTGGCACATCTTGATTGGGTTTTGAATTTTTGAGGGAGGTACATTTCAACTAGGTTATGAATTTTCGGAGTGTAAATTTTCAAACCTGTTACAAGAGGAAACCATGGAGAATAACGCAAGTGTATATCGTCTACGATTTTTTAAATTCTACTTTCAGTCCAGTCATTAGGTATTTAAACTGGAAAATTGCTGAAGAATTTCTAGACGGCTCTATATGTTTTTTGGGATGCTGAATCTGAAAATTGGGTAATTTCTGGTCAACTTCGAACTGGGTAACTCAAACTGGACAACTTCGAAGGCCACTGAAATCAAACTCAATTTATTTTTGAAAGAAAAGTTCTCCGTCCTGTTTTTGGGCGAGTAAAAGTTGAAGGACACACGAACCAGGAGCTGTACAACGCTTTCGGAGAAGCTGACGTTGTGAAAGCAATGAAGTTGAGGCGTTTAAGAAAAGCGGGGCGTATTGCCAGAATGGCGGATGGAGAAATGCCCAAAATGTTACTTGCACAGCCAATCTATAGAACAAGAGGAAGAGGGGGAACAAGGCTGAGATGATTGGATGGCGTGGTAGGAGACGCTCGCAGCATGCTGGGAGTTAGGAACTGGATGGCGTCGGCGCAAGACCGTGGCGATTGGAGGAATCGGTTAGAGGAGGCCAAGACCTGAAACTGGCTTGTAGTGCCATAAAATGATGAATGATAATGAATGATGATTAGGGTGTTACCAATGGGTATTTTCCCTACCAGTCTTTTCATGCCACTGTATTTCCCTATATCACATTTACTGGATGTATGTACAACGGCTCTTGATGTTAACTATAAACAGTAAAGACTGAAGTGAACAACAAAGTGGTAAAACATGAACAATAAGGTAACAATATTCAGAGGACAAAATAATGTCAACATAGCGGTCTGGTTCCTTGGCTCCTTTATTGGAAGTCATGCTAATTTTAATATATGCTACTGTATTGTCTGCATGTTTAAATCAGTTTATCACAATCAAGAAGATAAAAACACTTTGAAATTGAATTACTTATCATTTATATTAAAATTTGGTCTGTTCGAAGACTTTTTCAGATCACTGAATATGATTATAATAAATAACCTGTACCACTATAACCCATGAAGGGTCTTGGGTTCAGTACTTAAAGGAAGTACTGTTTCAGAGCCAACGGTTGTGTGTCGAGGTGATCAGGACAGAATCATGCTCAACAGTCAATTTCTCTCCTTATTAATTATTTAGTTAAGGTTACCCACTAGGGTCTCAGATACCCACCAACATAAACAATTTATAAGGGAGTGATTATGGGTATCTTGAGGTATGCGTCACCCGCCTGGAACCAGAACCTCTTGCACCGATAGAAGAGTAACTTGGCGACAATACAGCGAACGGCTTTGCTGTGGGTCACCAGGGTGTATCCCATGAGATGGTGCAGGTCTTAGCAGAAGGTCTACCTCTCGACCTCCTCCTGCGTGAAAACATGGTAAAACATACGTTTAAGAAAAACGGCTCAGCAGATCTGCTGGAAAACCTTAAGGTGAGAATTGACGAGAACCCTCGCAAATGGAAATACATTATTCGGGAGGACACAATGGATGAATGGAACCGGCGGTGGGTGATAACCCCAAAAGGGAAATACCACCTTGAAGAAGTACTTTCTCATCATCTGGTCACGTTTAGAACAAAGGGGGTCGTCCCGTACAACCGGCTCTCACAATTTCTCACAGGCCTTGGGGGCTTTCGAGCAAAGCTTCATTGTCATGGGATGGACATCGACTCTCTATGCCGTAGCTGTGGTGATCCGGAGACTGCTGAGCACATCATAGTTGACTGCATCCCCTTTGAAGAACTAAGAGCTAAATTACTGAGGGAAACCGGTCTCTACATTCTCACACAGAACGATTACAGTTATTCACTGCAGAAAACAATCCGTACTACAAAGATTTTGTGTATGGGTGGAAAGTCATGGTGAACCCAGCCCATTTCAATCTAAGAAGAGGAGGAGGAAAATCACTCAAATAAATCAAGCTTTACTTGCAGCAGTGAGATGTTAAGCTGACTGCCTAATATCTTCCTATTGCAGACACCCTTATTGCCTACAAGGCACAGCATGGTTTAAAATAAATAAATAAATAAAATAAAATACCCACTTTATAGAGGCTAAGTGTGCCCCAGGAGGGTCTCTCCCTGGTCTATCCGTGTCTGATAAAAAAATGCCTATCATCAACCGGATTCGAACCGAGGATCTTGAGCATTGGGAAGTCAGTACTAAGCTATTGAGCTACACCTCTCCCTATATTATTACAATATTCAACCATTTGATACATCTAATTATTGAAATTTTAAAATTATTATTTTCAGTGAGAACAAGGAATTATCAATTTACAATTGTGGTTATGCTGATTTAATCCCTATCAGTTTTCAAACATTATTAGAGGAAGGAGGTGATCTGAACGAAAAAACTTGTCCTTTGGATGATGACATTTGGTATCCATTTCTAATATTTGTCCAGAATAACTTTAATTTTCACCTTCTCTTTTACTTGCTCCAAGTTCTACCAGCTGTAATTATCGATTCGATTTTGTTTCTGGTGAAAAAGGAAAGAAGGTAATTTAGCTTAGGACAAATTTTCTATTAATAACATTAATCAAATATTACATATAACCAGATCCCAGAATTTTAAACAATAGTACATAGGTGGGGATTGAATTGGACCTTTTCATCATTAGAAGCCGCAGTAAGTTTAGGCTGTGCTAATGGAGGCAGCAAAATTTTTTTATATTTTACTGTTGCTGTTTTTATTTTTCACTAAATATACGCATCCGTATACATATAATCAACTTGTTCTATTATTTATCAAGTTTTCGTAACCTAAATAATTAAATTAACAAATATTGAACATTTTTGGAGGCCACAGCTCTCCAGCTCCCCACCTATGCACTAGTGGATTTAGATATGAAATCATTGCAATTCCAGTTATTGTAACATGGGCTACTAGAGTCAAATTAAAAGTTAAAATTATGAATGTGTATATATCACTTCACTATTTTCAACTTAAATTATTATTTTCAGAATGGTTAAAATAACTATAAAGATCTATCAAGCTCTTCAAGCATTAGAAGCATTTACAATGAATAATATTAGGTTCGACAATAAAAAGTATCATGATCTCTGGGAAAAACTAACAGAGGATGAAGTCGAAATATTTCGAGTGGGAGTACCTGCTAATTTTAGGTGGAGTGACACTATGTTAGATATGCACAGAGGAGTAAAACAATACTATTTAAAAGAAAAGTTAGAAGATATAGAATTTCATAGACTCAAGCTGAAGAGGTAATAACAGCAAGTTTTGTTAGTAAAAATATTATCGTAGCTTTTAAACTGTCATTGAGCTAAATTTTATTTTTCAGATTGTATTACTTGGACCGATTTGTCAGAGGAATTCTCATTATCGCAGCATTTACATTATCATATAAATTGATAAATGTTGTATTGTGTAAATATATTTTATAGGTTGTAATAAATAATTTATCTATGTTGCAATAATTCTTTGTTTATTTCATTATAATTCTCAAGAGTTAATGGAATTTTATCTAAAGCATATATTAGGCCTCTCATAAACTAAGTAGATTGTGTGAATATCTTTTTTTTTCGATAAAAAATTTCAGAATCTGTGTTGAAATCAAATATACAACTTACAATTTTGGACAATCATTCATTACTAAATAATCATAAACAAATGAAAAGATTATTGAAGCAAGCTAGTCGACTGTTCTACATGTCATGGCTGATAAATATTCAGGACGCAGTCTTTTTTAAATTTTTTTTTTTTAATTTTTTACTTGTGCCAACGTTTCAATCCAAACATGTGGGTCATCTTCAGGGCTGACAATTTTAAAATACAATCAGAGATATGATATTATACAAACAGATAATGGTAAATAATAAACTATAGTGATTGATCGTACATGAATCTTAATTAATATTACAATACACATTTTAAAAATGAAATATTTAAATAGTTATACAAACTAAAAATAATGGATATAATCCATTTATACAAATCATCATCATCAATTAATCAAAAATGAAATATGTAAATAGTTATATAAACTAAAAAGAATATATATAATCCATTTATACAAATCATCATCATCAATCACTATATGAGAAGAAGTTAATCGGGGGGGGGTGCGGTCAAATAAATACTAAATAAATACTATTATTAAACAAATAGTAATTATTTAATTTTTGCCGACGTTTCGACCCACTTTGCAGGTCGTCTTCAGGGCTACAAAAGATACAAAACATGGTGAAAATAAAATAAATGAATATAAGTAGATATAAAATAAGAGGAAGTTGTCAGATACAGAAATAAAAAAAAAGATGATATCAGAGAGAGTGGTTGACAATGTAGTTAAAATATTTTATAAATATAAAAATATATTTGATATTTTAACTGCATTGCCACCCACTATATCTCAGATATCATCTTTTTATTTCTGTATCTGGCTACGTCTTCTTATTTTATATCTACTTATATTCATTTATTTTATTTTCACCATGTTTTGTATCTTTTGTAGCCCTGAAGACGACCTGCAAAGTGGGTCGAAACGTCGGCAAGAATTAAATAGTTACTATCTGTTTAATTTAGTATTTATTTGACCCTCCCCCCCCCCCCCCCCGATTAACTCCTCATATTATATCAACGGTCAACCATCTCTACATCATTATCAATCACTATAGTTTATTATTTACCATTATCGGTCTTATAATATTATATCACTGATTGTATTTTAAAATTTTCAGCCCTGAAGATGACCTATACGTTTGAGTTGAAACGTTGGCACAAATAAAAAAAAAAGACTGCGTCCTGAATATTTATCACTCATGAAATGAAAATATTGTTTATATTTTCGTTATGGGTCAATCCATTTGAATTAATTTTGTTGCACGACATTTTTGATTTTTATAATTTTTTTTACAAAATAGTCTATATTTATTTGAGAGTTCAAAACCATAGTTAAAAAAAAATTTAAGCCCCACAGTATTTTCTCAGTGGCCATTTTGAATTTTATATTCGGCTGAAAACATGTTTTGGGAAAATGTTTGCAACTCTGGTAATTTTGTTGATATCGAACCAAAATAAAAACTGGAATAATTATGAGTGTCTTGTCTACATTTCTGTTTATCAATAAATCACGTAAAAAGAAAGGAAAGTGATTAAAAAAAAAACACATGGAAATTGATAAAAAATGAGACTTTAAACCTTTAAAAGTGTGATAATGAAAAGAAACTTACCTTTGATTTTTTGTTTTTTGTTTTATAGTTCTACCAGTGCGCTACATGTTGATGAAATTTCAATCTTGAAAACCTTGTCTTTTTTTTAATAAGATTTTCAAAAACGGCCAAATTTTTTGATTCGGTAAACACAAAAATATGATAATTTTACATAAAAAGTGTATGGAGCCATTCGTGACTGGTTAGAAACATTTTACAGAAAAATCAAAGGTACCATCTTATTTATCATAATTTTTTTACTCAATAAACACACAAAAAAACCCTATAATTTAACATAAAAGCTGTGGATAGCCAGTGATGAACATGGGTGTGCCCAGTGATGGACACCTCCTGTTGATAACTGGTTAGAGACACGTCAGAGAAAAAACAAGGGTACCATCTGATTTCTGATTATTTTTAGACTCATTATATACAGAAATATGAAAATTTTACACCAAAAGTGTGGGAGCCATTAATGAATATGGATGTCCATGACTGGCTAGGGCCTAATATTTGACCCAGTGATGAACACTCCCCTAATTGTCGATAAAAATGCCATTTTTTGAGGAAATTCGATGCGAAAATTGTTGAGGTTATGCAATGGACATTTTAATGGTAATAATAAAAAAATTTAAAGAACTATAAACATAAATATATTACTAATACTAGCACTAGCGGATCCAGCCGGGGGCCGCCCTAAAAGCCGGAAAAAAATTATCGTGACCAACACTAGCGAATTCTGGCATGAGCGCGCCTCTCCCTTGGATGGTGAAAAAAAAAAATCCCCAAAAAAGTTCCAAAAACACCCATTTAAAAAAAAAAGAGAAATATAGGGAAAATTAATTCTCATAGGATAATTTCCAAATGTAATATAAAAAAAAAAAGATATTGTAGTGACCAGCTCTAGCGAATTTTACCAGGAGGCGTGCCTTCCCTTGGATGGAGGGAAAAAGTTCCTAAAAGCAGCTATTTATATAAATATAGGGAGGATTCATCCTCATAGACGAATTCCTAATGTATTGAAAAAAAAATTTCGTGACCAGCACTAGCGAATTCTGCCAGAGGGCGCGCCCTCTCTTAAACAGTGGAAAAAAATTCGAAAAAAGTTCCCAAAAACACCAATTTAAAGAAAAGAGAAATATAGAGAAAATTCATCCTCATTGACGAACTTTCTAATGTACTATAAAAAAATTACTTTCGGCTGGCCTTCAGAGTTCGTTCCCCTTTTTCTCAATAAAAAAAAAACGAAATATTTCGAAAATACCCTTCATCATTTGACATATTCATTACACTAGAGGACAAACAAAACTAATGCCAATGAAACCAAACACAACAGTTTCGAAGAGCGGACTTTGACCTTTACGATAAGTATCATTATTTTCAGATAAGACAAAGATAACTGGATATATTAGAAAACAATACACACTATTAATAAAAACCGAACGAACTTATGGATCCACCCAATAAATCATCAATGATTTCAATAGACTCTATGGCAATCATTGGTGGATCTAACAAGGGGGGAGGGCTTTCGGTCTGATGCACTAGCGGATCCAGGATTTATTTTTAGGGGGGGCTTGAGCCCGAAAGTTATTTTTTTCATAAAAATAACGATAATTACTTTGGAAAAAAAGAAAGAAACTAACTACCTATATGAAATGGTGTTTAAGTGATTTCTAAAGACCTTCTAAATGTAATTACACGAACAATTATACTTTAAGAGATACTTTTTAAATATTTTTTTCGATAAAACATGGTTATATTTCACCATTTTGGGGGGGAGGGTCTCCGGCCCGAAAGCCCCCCCCCCGTAGATCCGCCCGTGGTCTGATGCTTATTAATAGTGTAGCCTATCCGCAAAACACTTTATGCATTCAATATTTACATGACCACCTTTCATTGAGAACTCTCAATTCTCCGATACTTCAAATTTGCTGGTGGAAATGTGATAAAATCTAAACGTAAAAATAGAATGGCGAACATGAATAAATCATAAAATTCTTGGATATGATAGTATATATACCAATAATTATCTATGAATATAAACTAAAATTTCAATAACAGGAATATTTTTAATCATAATAATTATATAATTTAAGTTTTGCAGAAACATTGCAACTGCAACTCACTATTTTTTTATTTATTTATTCAGAAATGTTACAATCTGTCACAATTAAGGACATTTATAATAGTGTTCAGAGAGAACATTCACACTCTATTTACAATAAATAAAAATAAATAATACAGAAACTAATAATAATAAAACTAAATGATAAACTAAATAATAATAAACTAATCAAAATAATAACTAAAACACATGCGTACTATACAATATTTACAGAATCCATTCAATCAGCACTCCGAGCCAAGTCTTTCTCCCCGCTCTTGAAGGAAAGGCAGGACTCTAGGAGATCCCAGCGCCTCGCACTGAGCCGCATTACTGGTAACAACTCACAATTAACAATTTTATCCATCACTACTGGTATTAAAACCAAGAACGTTAATGGCATCCCCATTGTTAGTTAGCAACATGAACATTCCTTGTCAGAACGACGCACAGTGAGATGATAAGGAAAATTCACATCACCTATTTTTTTTTTATGTATATAACTCCAAAAACTAGATAGACCGTTTTGTTGAGGCCTTTTCAAATTTGTGAGAATATTTTCAGTTGACAGAATATATACTGCTTTAACTGTGGCTTGGTGTTACAGGATTGAAATTTAATTTAATAAAAAAGACGTTGTCTTCCTGAATATTCCTTTATTATCACTTTTGAACAACCGGTTTCGGTCTTTTATCATACCATCATCAGGCTAGGTCACTAGCGGATCCAGGATTTAATTTTGGAGGGGGGGCTTCAGCCCGAAAGCTTTTTTTTTCATAAAAATAACGATAATTACTTTGGAAAACAAAAAAGAAACTAACTACCTATATGAACTGGTGTTTAAGTGATTTCTAAAGCCCTTTTAAATGTAACTACACGCATAATTATACTTTAAGAGTTAATTTTTTAATATTTTTTTCGATAAATTACCATTTTTTCGTTATATTTTACCATTTTGGGGGGGCTTCAGCCCGAAAGCCACTCCTCCCCTCCCGTAGATCCGCCCGTGGGCTAGGTAAAATAATAAAACCCTAATTTAAAATTTAACAATCTTAATAAAAATGGTAATCACCTAACTGATCATGATCCTCCTCTCCTACTTGTCAAATGAGGACTAAAAAATAAAAATAAAACTATTGACCACATGGGCTATCCCTATCCCTACCTATTTTTTTCATTTTTCACCTCTAATTTTATGAGTGCAGAATCCTCAAATTGAATACT